ACTCAACACTTACCAACTTGGATTCTTCCTCTACCATTGTGGGGTCTTTAATTAGGTTTGTTTGCTCTTTATGATATGTATTTGTAATGCCCTTTTATCAATGAATGTATGAAATATTGTACTCTTCGTCAAAAATAAAAAAGTTTTGAGTTTTCCTTTGTTAGGCAGTTCTTGGCCTTCTTTCGTTTGACTGATATTGCGTAACCAATCAATTATATACACCGCTGTTGTGCCAGATGAGACGTGTTGATGGTATGTTTTTAATTGAGTCAGATTAAAGGCATATTGATAATCTTGTCTTTCCTTACAAACTCGTTTACGCTCCGTGAAAAACAAGACAGTTGATTGATCTTGAAAACTTTTCAGCCTTCTAACTTCAACCTAGACACACACATTACTCGAATCAGCCTCAAGTTATGCGATGACTTGAACTTGTCTTGAAATCCGTAATCTATCTTGATCATTTTTGTGTGGACTCCGTTTTTGAAGTTTTTATGTTTTTCACTCTTTGCACAAATATGAACTCTCAATTAGTGTTATAACATTTTGGGGGAAAAAAAAATAGTGTTATAACATAACTAGTTTCCAACTTAATTAACTATGCGCAATATCAATAATTAAATTTTCGATTGTCTCATAATTTAGATGCATAATCCATTAATGAGATGAAGAAAAATTGAAATTGGAACACACAAACGCTAGTCAATTATAGGTGCGGTGTTTTAGTCCATTTAATTACTGCCATTTAGTACTACGGTCTAGTGGTATTCCTCTTCACTTGTAAGTGAGAGATCTTAGGTTCCATTCTCATCAAAGACGAATTTGAACTACCTTATTGCTAGCCCATTATGAGGCTAAGCCCACCCCCTCATCTTTAGTGTAAATAATATCGTTTGTTCAGAAAAAAAAAAAAAACCATGAATTATTAAAATTCCATGACTGATTTGTTAACTTAAATAACTATTTGCAATAGCAATAAAGCCTGAATTTGTATCAAAGTTGATCAACGAACATTATTTCATCATAGGGTGATCTAGCGGTTGGAAACGAATTCTAGACCTGTATTTCATACGACACGTCTGGGGTTCGATACTTGACGCGGATGAAGGTAGACGATGATGGCTAGAGCAGGCTGAGAAACCTCTGTGAATCTTGTCAACCCATATAATAGTGGATTGCCATGAAAAATGTCACATCCCGGCCCGGGGCGGACCACTTCTCGGGCCCGCTCCACCACCGTAGCACGATATTGTCCGCTTTGAGCTTACCATTCCCTCACGGTTTTGTTTTTGGGAACTCATGAGCAACTTCCTATTGGGTCACCCATCATGGGATTGCTCTCGCATGCTACTCGCTTAACTTTGGAGTTCCGATGGAACCCGAAGCCAATGAGCTCCCAAAAGGCCTCGTGCTAGCTAGGGATGGGAATATACATTTAAGGATCACTCCTCTAGGCGATGTGTGATGTTACAAAAAAGCTACCAACCGGTCTTCTTTTTAAAGAAAAAAATTATATATAATATGTTTCAGTATTGTACAATAATTTTTCATTAGCTTTTAATGGTGAATTATTAAAATCCATGACTTGTCCCATCAACAAATGATTGAGAGATGAATTGCATGGTACACATCATGATAGGAAGTAAGGTAAAGGACACAAACACACACAAATCCAACAACAACAACAACAACCACCACCTATGATTAATGTGTTTCCTGCATGTTCTACTAACTACTTAAAACTATAAAATTAAAACCAAGTGGTAACAATAATCCAATCCAATCCGACCTTTTTGTTGGGGGGATGAAATCAAATTGGGTGTTGTGAATCTACCTGGAAAATTGAGGTGGGATTTGTCTAAAATTCATGGGGAGGAAGAAGACATAAAATCCCAACTAGAAATGGAAGATAATATATAAGAAGATATTATTAACTAATAGAAAATAATAAGACACCCAGAGAGACAGAAGACTGAGACCCCAGTTAGTGTTTTGTTAAAGAGAGAAAGAGACGGGACTAGAAGTGTGAGGAAGGGATTCAAACACGACTATACATGTCCCAAAAACAAAGGCTATTTGTATTTGTGTTTGTATTGTATTGCAACAAATCTTATCCCATCTCATCCATCTCTCTCTCTCTCTCTCTCTCTCTCTCTCTCTCCTGCATGCTTATTGGAAAGGGAAGGGATCTGTGGATTTATTTATCCCACCTCCTCCAATCCCCTCTTAAATCCAGGCCGGAATGGCCAAACACCAATAATGCTATCCTGCACGTGATCAAATTACTGTTCTTCTTTACAGCTACATTTCATTTCCCCCGGCCTCCTTCTCTCACAAATATTGAAAAGCAAATTTACCATGGAAGATCGATAGATTATACATCCTTCTTGCCCAATGCCTACTATTTTCAATCTCGGTTTTCATTTGTTTAATTTATCGATGATTGTCAACAGTTAATAAATGCAAATTACACATACGTCAACAGCTAACATCTATTAGGGACTATTACGAGTTAAATAAGCCTTCGAAATTGGAATAATTCACTACGCACTTGAAAACAAATTTCTCCCATATAAGTTCTATCCAAACGCCAATGCACGAGCTAGCACTAGAAAATTTTACAATACTACCTTTATATAGCCTTGATGTTGCCCAATATCCAACCAATTGTAATGACAATTGTCTTGTGTGTTTAAACGATTGTTAATCGTAATTAATACTTGTGTGTTATGCATATACATGAACGGTTGAGAACTGCCATAATCATTATGAATCAAACTTCTTGCATAAGTAATTTGGAGATAGGACAAACAAACTTGTTTGTTCATTTGAGTTCATGGGTTTACGAGTAGTATTAAACTTATCATCTATTTGTATTATCTCTCTATAAAAAAAGGGTTCATCAAGACATGTGGACCCCATCCCCTTTTAAAAAGATGATATAAATCGATGATAAAAATAGCATTTTTTTCGTGAACTATCTAGTTTTGTGATACATATGGTATTGGGGGAAATATCTCAAGTGCCCCGTAGATATGGTCTAGAGAACCAAGTGCTAGGCCGGGTTGGCCGTTGGATGGAATTGATGAAGAGCCAGGTGGCTAATTATTACGTCAGAGGTGTCCTACAATTTGATTTGTTTGGCAATGTAGCAATAACATGGGGTGTTTCCAAACAAATAGTAATCCACATTTGCCACAAAGAGATCCCCTCTCCTTTCTCCAGAGATTCGTCCAGATACATGCTCTGCCCAATTCAAAAACCACTCTAGTCTCCTTCATTATAATTTACTTGGCCTAATCGGATAAATGGTCCCCGTGGTCAACAGGTATTCGGATGATAGCCCCTGTGGTAAAAAAATTCGGATTTAAACCCCTGTGGTCTAAGTCTGTTAGGATTTATGCCCTTCGGTTAAATAATGCTGACGTGGTTGCCACATATATGCCACGTGGCAAAAATAATAATTTTTAAAATACCTGAATTAAAAAAAAAAAAAAAAAAAAAAAAAAAAAAAAAACGCAGAAACCCAGAAAATCCCCCCCGCCCTCCGCCCTCCGCCCGTTCCCCCACCCCGCCGGACTTCTTCTCCTTCTTCTTCTTCTTCTTCCCGCCGGAGACCAGCTCCCCCCCCCCGACGGAGCCCTCTCCCCGCGCGACCCTCCTCCCTCTCCTTCTTCCTTCTTCTTCTTCTTCCCGCCGGTCTCCCTGCGCGACTTCTTCTTCTTCTTCTTCTTCTTCTTCTTCTTGTTCTTTCTTCTTCTTCTTCTTCTTCTTCCCGCCGGAGACTAGCTCCCCCCTCGCCGGAGCCGTCTCCTCGCGCCCTCCTCCCTCTCCCTCTTCCTTCTTCTTCTTGCAGATCCAGTTTGTTTGTTTTTTTTTTTTTTTTTTTTTTTTTTTTTTAATTCAGGTTTTTTTTAAAAAAAAATTAAAAATTATTATTTTGCCACGTGGCAGCCATTTGGCAGCCACGTGGCAGCCACATCAGCATTATTTAACAGAAAGGTTTAAATCCTAACAGATTTAGACCACAGGGGTTTAAATCCTAACAGACTTAGACCACAGGGGTTTAAATCCGAATTTTTTTACCACAGGAGCTATCATCCGAATACCTTATGACCACGGGGACCATTTATCCAATTAGGCCTAATTTACTTTTACACAACAATGTTATCCATCACACACAAAATCGACCACATTACTGTCATACTCTGTAATAGTTATAGACTTCATTATTATACATGAAATTCACATACATTAAAGAAGCGGCAGATCCGCCGCATTTTTTTACACAATTTATTTTTTGTCGAATTTTTTTTTTTTTTTTGTGATGCCTACTTTGTAATATGTTTTAATAATCTGAACCGTCTATCATTTAGAACATCATTCATACATAATCTTTACAAAAAATTAGATAAATCCAAAATCATCAAGGCATTCATTTATAGTGAAGAAAATGAAAGGATACGGTTCTACAAAAAAAAAAAAAAAACCCTAAAACCTTAACCTAACGTTCACATGGTTTCAGATTTGGGTGTTTTCGATAGCCATAATATTTTAAGGTCAGATATAAAAGATAAACGGTTTAAATTGATGAAATACATCATAAGGTGAGCCCCACAAAAACTTGTGTAAAATAAATGATACCGCAGATCCGTCCGTATTTAAAAAAAAAGAAGATATTAGCAACGAAGTCAATTTAGTGTTTCTTAAAGAATAACTTAAATGATACATGAATATAAATCCACGTGAAATTATGTGTATTAGACACTATCAACAATACAGTAATTTTGTCTTTTAACAGTATTCAATTTAAAAAATCCTCCTCACTCAAAATCCCAACAAAAAACACACAGAAAGTAGTAGTAGTAGTAGTAGAATATGGGAATTTTACACTGAAAATAATGATTGAGTTTTTCCCTCACGCAAAACCTTAAAGTAGTACTCTTGTACTTACATGTCTCTCTCTCTCTCTCTCTCTCTCTCTCTCTCTCTCTCTCTTGTTTCTCTCTCTAACATTGTTGTCAATATCTTGGGGGTAGCTAGCTTCATCAAATAGTTCTCCTCAAACCCATAATCTGCACGCCTATTCCCTCCCCTTCCCTCTCAGCCCCACACTCAATTTGTCCATCTCCATCTCTCCTTCTCCAAGAAAATGTCCATAAACCATTTCTCCTCAGACCTCTCAGAAACCCAGTGGTGGAATGCTAATTCTAACCCCCACCGACAAGAAGACCCCTCAAGACACCCACACAGCAGAACCCATTTCATCCCCCAATTTTATCAAGATACCCACCACCACAGCCACGCCCACCACAGTTTCCAACCCTGGCAGCTCAACTCCCAAGACCCCACCACACCCATGTCCCCCACCCATTTCCATACCCCCACCGCTACCCTCAATTTCAACCTCAACCACCACGACGCCGTCGACCCCAACGAATCAGGCCAACTCCAGTCCCCGCCGCCGCATCACCGCGTCAACTCTGACGACTCCGACGACGAAAAAGAGCCCATGTTCGAGAAGCCCTTGACCCCAAGCGACGTCGGCAAGCTGAACCGCCTCGTGATTCCCAAGCAGCACGCAGAGAAGTACTTCCCGCTCGGCAGCGGCGACTCGGGCCTCCTGCTGAGTTTCGAGGACGAGTCCGGGAAGTCGTGGCGGTTCCGCTACTCCTACTGGAACAGCAGCCAGAGCTACGTCCTCACCAAGGGCTGGAGCCGTTACGTCAAGGAAAAGCGCCTCAACGCCGGCGACGTCGTTTTGTTCGAGCGGCGCCGGGCTAACACGGATCGACTCTCCATCGGCTGGAGACGCCGCAACGCGGTCCCAGCGCACGATAGTGGGGCTGGAGGGGTTGAGAGTAGCAGTGGCGGGGTTGGAGGGAATAGTAGTGGTGGTGGCGGGGGTTGGACAAGGATGTTCTATTCTGCGCCGCATCACGGCTCGTCTTATCCTGCGCACCAGTATCATCATAGTGTGGCGCCATACCCACCTGACTGTCTACATGCAGCAGGTAATTTATATTCTTGTAATTTAATTTTTAGTTACTTTGTAAAAACATAAATACAAACGTTTTTAATTCTTGCTTATACGCACGTGAAAGTGCGTGAAAAACACATTAATTCCTCTTACTTGGGAAGAATGTGCTTTAGGGTTTAGATTCTAATTGAGTTGTGTTTATGTGTGATAGAAATAATATTGAGGAGAAATAGATCGAACTTAGGATCTCGGGTTCAGGAATAAATTGAATTTAGTTCTATCAGTCGACCATGATACACTAAAGACATGTGACCGAAGCAAATAACCAAGTACATTGGTCTTTTGTATAATTAGGGTGAGAAATTGGGGGTATGTATTTAATTTATGTTTTTAATAATTGTTTTTTTGTTGCAGGGTCCCGTGTCCAGAATATGAACCCAACGGCGTCAGTTGGGAACTCGAAGATACTGAGACTATTTGGAGTGAACTTGGAGTGCCAGCAGCAGGCAGCTGAGCACCTCGAGTCGGAACCATCAACCTCAGATGGCTCGTCGTCGACACTGTCTATGTCAAGCCAGGGTCCGACTCACGGCCAGCGGCAAAGGTACCCTCGTGCAGCTTATAATTATGCCGACCAACACAGGGTACGTAAACCCCCTAAACTATCATTACCGTAATAATCATATTATAATTATGTGTATTATTATATAAGAGTATATTCTGCTGTTGCATTTCCTTTTGCCCTTTTAAAAACCCCTATTTTGTTTCCTCTCACGAGACAGATTATTTAAGAGCAAATGAGTAAATTATATGGTCTCCTTTCTCCCCAACAAAACGATTGATTAACTTAATTGGTATGATTAGTGAATTCCTAATACGAAATCAATCTGATTGTTATAATGAGTATCATATCAATCAACGATCTAGTATCGTTGACGCATTGGCGGCAATTGATATCTATGTGGGTAGGAAGTCAAACATGTTTGAACATTTCTTGCAAAAATGACAACTTTTCGGCCTACAGTTGAGCCAAAACAAAGGTTGGACCCAACCCATCTTTTTACCAAATTAATTAAGGTCAGTTTTTGGCTTTGAGTTGATTTTCTTCTGAATTTTTTTATAAAAAAGTAAAACATAAATAAATAAATAAATAAAAAATACACCACCATTGCAGAGCACGAGGGCAGCTTTTGTGGACTGGACTGGACTGGTGTGTTCAAAGCTTTCATGGAGCTTCCTTTTTTCCTATATCTATGTTAAGCCACATACACAAAATAGCTGTTATGCCATGTGGTATATTTCTAGGCACCGACTCCTTTTAAGGGCGGTCTCCTGTGGACTATTTGTTAGCTGTTATATGATCTTTGATTTTTAGTAATTTTCCAAAAGAAAACATAGGTAAGAACACTTCGATTACGTTACCTCTTACCTCTTGCCTCTTACCTCTCTCTACCGTTTCTTTCACAAAACAAAGGTACTCCTGTATTTTGTTCTTATTTGACTTCATTTTGGTCGGGAGCATTTTTGCTCACCACCATAAATTATGGTCTATGATCACTCTACACCTAAATATCTGCCACGTGTCTTTTCACTTAACTTTGATTAATTTTTTCAAAATTAAAAAAGTAATATTTAATGTGAAAGTTAACTAAAATTAGGTAAAATGATACGAATAAGATAATTAGGTGTATATGGTAAACATATATGATAGTTATGATGGTGAACAATAATGCTTCCCATGTTGGTCTTTAATAAGACGGCTCAGATAATTAGGTGTATGGTAAACATATCAGATAATTAGACTCTTTACTAAGAGCTACTATAATAGGACGGCTCTAAAAAGTTTCTCTTATTCTCTAGGGTTTGGTTTTTTAGTTCTTTTTTCTTATGATTCATTTTCCTTAGGGTTGAGCATTCAATTATTTTAAATTTCTCTTATTTCTCTAGGGTTTGGATTTTTAGTTCTTTTTTTCTTATGATTTATTTACCTTAGGGTTGAGCATTCCATTATTTTTGCAATATTTGGAAAATCTTTTCCTACTGTTGCCATGTTACATAATTAGTAGTCTAAGTTAAGGATGGTGTTTCCACACTCTTTTTTACTTCTACACATCCCTTTCAAATTTCAATTGTTGGATCGAATAAATTAAAGAGGATCAAACAGTCAGAATTACTAAGGAGTGTGTAAAGATTAAAAAATATTGTGTGAATAGCACCGCCTTAAATTAATAGTGTGAGATATTTTTTTTATTTTTTAATTGAAAAAAAAAATAGTGTGAGATATCATAACTTGTACCAAACACTTCAGATTACAGATTGCACAGATCTTTAGTGGCAACTATTTAATTCTAAGCCGCCCAAATGTTAATTGATGTTTTTCATGTTGAAGTTATAGTAGGCAGCAGTAGGCTTTTTCTAGGGCTAGAAAAAAAAAAAAAAATTTCAATGTACTCAGAACACTGGCACATATATCATATGTTGACATGCCACTCTATATTCCGAATACATTGACAAATTTCTCCAAAAAACTTGCGTTAATTAATGCATGGGATATAGGTGATTTTCAAAACCCTAGAAATGAAAAAATGAAATTAAAGAAAGCAACGAGTTTGCCATTAGCACTATTTATAAATGCATTTAGCATACGACTTTCATAAATAATGTGTTTATTTTCAAATTATTATTGGCCTATTGAGTGACTAAAGTCCCGCTTTCATTGTATCCAAAAGAAAAAAGAGGGAGCACTGATTTTCACAAAGAAAATTGCTAAATAGACTCTAAAATATGAAATTCTCTAACATCTCATGTTTTTATACAAGCTTTATTTATAAAGAGTCTCCTTATAGCATTTATCTTTCACATATGCAATTGATTGATTTTTGTGTGTTTGTGCAACAGGAATTCACTAGTTTCTCTGGAGATGTCAACCCCATGAGATCAAATCGCCGAGGATAAAGATCTGCCGATGTGACGTCCTCTTTGATTGATTGACTTCAAATATATTTATTTTTATTTTTAAAACACACCACTTGGGAAAAAAGGAAAGAAAAAAAAATCCCCTATATTAATATTCAGTGCCCACAAGAAGAAAGAGAGAAAAAAGAGGGTACACATGGAATATAGTATCAGAAAAAATCCCAGATTTTCAGGTCAAGTCTGGGACAATGCAGGAAGAAAGGGTGAGGGGGAACCAAAAGGAAGGTGCTGCAGGTAACGGGGGTGGAGAGAGAAGCTGGTAGGGTATGGTTAGAAAAAGTAGCAGGGGAGTAAAGTCATCGTTGTTTCTCCTTCCGTGGAAAATGGGAAATTTGATTGGAGGAATCTGATATGTTAATTTAGTATTTGCCAGCACTGTTGAGATTCTGCCTGAAGATTTTTGATAAATAATAATGGAAGGGAAGGAGGGTATCGGATATGGTGGTCGTGATGGAAACTGGGTGGGTGCATGGGTGGGTGGGTGGGTGGGGAAGTAAGTTCGGTGGGTGCGAGTAGACTTTGAACAGATGGATGGGTGACAGCAAAGCCCGGTGTCTTTCATTTGGTACTAGAAAGAGAGAGAGCTCTCTCCAATGGTATCGAACACTATACTCTCCTAATTTTCTAGTTTAACCTTTTTGTTACAGCTAGTTGTTTCATTTTCTGATTAATCCCATGTAGCTAGCTAATTAAGCTCTTCTTTTGGATGTTGTAAACACTCTACTTCTAGAATTTGAATAGTAATGACAAGTTTACAAATTTTTTTCCTTATTGAGATTGAGTAGGACCTAACAAACGTGTTGTGTTTGTCATGTTCGTGTTGGTTTCGTATCATACTCATTATCTTATTATGTTAAGTTGTGTCAAACTCGGTTTGATATGTTAATGGGTTTTTAACAAGTGACCTGATAATGATTTAATTCGTTAACGAGTCGTGTCATGTCGTGTCGGGTTAAGGGTCATGTTAGAAATTATCATGCTTAATGTCTAGACCTGGCAAACTATATCTTATTGGGTTCTTAACAGGTGACCCGATAAAAACCCAACTCGTTAACGGATGACCCTGATAATGAATCGACTCGTTAACAAGTTTACCCGAAGCCATTATTTTGGTGCCATTTCATGTCGGATTAACGGATTGTGCAAGAAATTAACATGTCTAAGATTGAGATCCACTTGTGTAACGTGTTAATCCGAAATGATAGTGTTTTAAAATATTGTATATTCGAGCTTATGTATCGATCCATAAATAGTATTTACACTAGAAAAATGCATGATGACTTAGAAGTTATGGCGACCGCAAGAATTGAATTGTTCTTGTTTTATTGGCAATCAACATATCATTTGGTTTGGTTGATTTGCAATTAGGTACATGGACTCCTTAATTTATTTTGATCATTAAATGGGGGTAAGGCTAGCCGACATTCACCTCTCCCAGACCCTGCGTAAAGCGGGAGCCTTGTGCACTGGGTACGACCTTTATTTGATTACATGACATGTTTCCTTGGGGGTATGAGCTCGAACTCTTTAGAGAGCCTATGCAAGGAAACGCTCCCTTATTTTCATATGGCACTTGTTGGAAAATATTAGTATTTAGGTTTATTTTAGTATTTGAGTTTTGCTTGTTAGTTTAGGATTTGGGCCTAGCTCATCTAAGTTAGGATTTCTTAAGTTTAGTTCTCTATAAATATAGTTTGTAATTTAGTTTAAGAAACAAATGAGTCACGATGTAGCCTCTTGGGGATTTGTAGCCGTTTCGACATTCTTGTTTATTTAATATTATTCTTCTTATTTTGTAGTCTTGTTCATCTCGCACTCTGATATTCAATTTGGTATCGGAAAAGGTTGGATCCTTCGGGATTTAATCTGCTGTTGATGGGTGACAATTTGTTTGTATTAGTTTTGTTTCCATCATCTTCTGCTGTTTGTGTTTCCGTTTTAGATTTGTTAGTTGATATTGATTGTTTGCAAGAAAAAAGTATGAAAAAGGCCTGTACCATCGCACCACTTTGTGCACTCTCACAGCCGCGTCTTCCTAGACGACGTTGGAGACTCCACACTTGCTTTTGTTTGAATTGAAGTCCAGATCAGTTCGTGATTTGACCTTTGATCAACCTGCACCGTTTCTGCATCTGGATTCGTCTCCACAACCCTACGCCCGCGGAATAAAAAAAAGGCTGATGTTATTGGTTTGCACAGAAGGAAAAAATAGGAAAATAGAAAGGATATGCTGCTTGTTCGCACAGAAGGAAAAAAGGAAGGAAGAAGGAAGAAGAAAAAAGGGGAAAAAAGGAAGGAAAAAAAATATGGCTGTTTTGAGGTTTTGTGGCCCACATATTGTTGCTATTGGGCTTGTGTCTCTGGCTTGTTATTGACTCCTACAATGATCTTGTTTTTTTGTTCTGAAGTTGGAATTTGCACTGACATGGAATCTTGCATTTGCATGGGAATCTTGAACTGGCATTGGCATTGGAATCTTGCACTAGCACCGGCATTGGAATATTGCACTGGCATTGGCACTGGAATTTGGAATCTTGCACTTGCACCGATGGAATTTCTTATTGAAATTGGCATCGAAAATTAGCATAACAAGCTTGCATCCACATCGTCTGTTGGCAAACTCATGTCGTGTACCACCATAAGTCTGACGGGAGGTGTTGGAAAATATTAGTATTTAGGTTTATTTTAGTATTTGGGTTTTGCTTGTTAGTTTAGGATTTGGGCCTTGCTCATCCGAGTTAGGGTTTCTTATGTTTAGTTTGCTATAAATATAATTTGTAATTTAGTTTAAGAAATAAGTGAGTCACGATGTAGTCTCTTGGGGATTTGTGGCCGTTTCGGCATTCTTGTTTATTTGATATTATTCTTCTTATTTTGTAGTCTTGTTCGTCTTGCACTCTGATATTCAACTGCACTTGTCATGTAATTAATCATATATCTGATATACACACTCAAGTATTTTCTCTACTTAGATAAGGTGCGTAAAAATACTCACAATATAGTTTTATCAATACTAAACAATATAGTTTTATCAAGTACTAAAGTTATGAGTTAACTAAACAAAGTATTGTCAAGATTTTAGGAAGACAAACTGATTGAGATAATGGTCGGGAAGAGAGGGTTTGATTATCAATATTTTCCACCAACTTACAGTTTCCGGCCTGCAGAACATGGCATGGTAGGGCAAAACAAAAATTCTTAGTCATCACTAGTACATGAGTCATATTTAATTAATTTTTCAAAAATAAAATTCTTGTTTTCTTCAACAAGTAATCTGCACAAATGGCTCATGAATTACTCGGGGAAAAAAGAAAAAAAACAGAAGCCCTTCCTTACCGCCAATGACCCGACAAAGCATGTGTCACACTCGAGAGAACACGGGCAAGACAATAATTCTAGGTCATCCATCATCAGATTTGAATTTTTCAGCAACCTCAACCTCAGTTACATAAATTTTGCACACCATCACCATCACCTGGATAATGGGTCAGGAATCCCAATGCCACTACAATACTGATTGGTACGTTTAAAACCACCATTGCAGATTGCTCAGATGTCAACTCAGACATCCCAATGCCTGCCCTAATATGACAAATTTTGAGTCACCAAACCAAATACGAAAAATAACCCATCAAATCGATTGTTTTTGATCCACTGATTACACGAACACATTGATTTCAGTGCAAAAAGACGGAACTAGGCCATCTAATCTAAATGGCATTTTCAAGAGTAAAAGTTTTGGCACATTGAGAATTCGAATTTTGAAGGTCCAAACGGTCAAGGTTAAAGGATTTTAGATCAAAATAGAGTGCAAAACACGCAAATAATAATAATAATAATTTATTCATTAAGACATTTCGTCGAACATTTGGTGGGTTTGCTATCGTCAATTGAATATCTTTTCTCACCATCCTCAGAGTGTTTGAGACAAATGTATGCATTTCGTTTAGAGTCGTATTCTATAGTTACGATTCTACTATATATGTCTTTTTCATTCCATCGAAAATCAATTCTGGCGGCAACATGCTATGGGTGGTGGTCCCGTTTATGGGGTCAAATCAATACGTTCTAAGAAGAAATATTTGAATATCAATCTCATCAATATCATCAATTTCATAAGTATAATACCAAATCTGAACATTTGGCGATCTCATATATGTTGATATCAATGGTGACTCATTATTTTGATGAATCATTTCTTCGGACAAAAGAAGATTGTGTAAACACTTACTACTTTATTTAGATCGGAAAAATTGTACGGTTTTTTGAAACCATGTGCTATGGCTCGAATCCATAGTCAATCCTATTTCTGAGAAAATGGGTCATAATAAAAAGTTAAAAGAGTAAAAAGAAGGGATAGGATCATAAAATAATCATGAAAATTAAAGCGTTTACGTGTTGTATCAGAGAACCCAATGAGATTCATGTTGTAGACATGCCAACGCAATCTGCTGAGTTATATTGAGAGAATTTGTCAAATGTTATCGACGTAACCTGTTGAAATATGCTTAAGATGCATTACATGAAACACGTAGTGGGCACAAAAGAACCTGTACTCAGCATTCAAAGAGTCATCGAAAAACCTTTAGATGTATATTTCCCACTCCAACTGGTCATGGGACCACCTTGGTCCCAATGCACATTAGTCCGATGAAAATGTCAAATAAGTAGAGAAAACAATATTTTATACTGTTAAAGGAAGTAAATGAGCTTTTGTTCATGGTTTCTCTCAATTGAATAAAAGAGTTCACTAATATGTTCTAAGAATAATTTTGGGATCCAACTAGAACAATAGTGGCGTTCTTCTGTTTTTCTAATGGAAAATCTTAAGTTTCGTTCACATGAGTAGTAATATTATGTTAAGTTTAATACCTATATAAGCTCATTATGTGATTTAACTCAAATTTTCTATCTCCTAAAGTAGAATATCGTTGTATAAAAAGAAATGGCCTTACACTATAACAATAGTACTAGATAATTGACACTACATTTGCTAGTCCATAATAGGGGCTCGTAGCTACAATAGTTAGAAAAGAGCAATGTTAGGAAGACTAACTATTTAGA